ATTAATAGTGACACATTAATATTTAATCCCTTTCTTCAAAATTAAATCTGAAGGTTTTATCCTCAAAATTACCTATAAAAATAGTTTAAAAAAAGACATTTGTTTTCTGATATCAAAGAAAATATCTCTTCAGAAGCATTGTCTTTAAAAACCAATTTATATGTTTTTTTACAGCTTAAATATCACCCAGTTAAAATTGAAAGCGTATTTTATTATTTACTTTAGAAAAATGCATCGTTTATCTTGTAAATGATTGTAAGATTTAAGGTTGTGCTTGTGGAACAGCGCATAATGCTTCAAAATTTCCATTTTCAGGTTTTACGTTACTTTACGGATTACCAAAATGATCAGGATAAAAGCTCAGGATAAAAGATAAAAGTTCTTCCGAGACAAGAAATATTTAAATAAAACATGAGAAAAATAAAAATCACTTTAATCTGAATTACATATTTCCATTTACAGTGCATAATCTTAGTATATATACAGGTTTTATTTTTTAAATTAAACTAAAGAAATTTACTTCAAATATTTCCTATTTTTTTAAATAACAAAACAACGTATTTCTTTTGTTTAGAATTAAAACCAAATCTTTTGTGTGTAAGTTGATTCGTAAGAAAAATTTTAATTTAAAAGCAATGATTTGAAATTGAAATAATTGGAAAGCTTATCCATTATATCAAACAATTTCTGAGGAATATTTATTCTTTTCTTGCTATAAATATAAAAAATTAATATTTAAAAAAAAATAGATTTTTTTAACTCTGTTTTATTTTTATATAATTCCATCTCACATTTTGTTGTAAACTAAGTTCCCACATAACTTTTCAATTCCTTAAAGGTTTGAAGTGTGGGAGCATATTTTTTCAAGAACTAATAGATCTAAACTGACCATCCAGAAGGGGGTGTGGCTTTGAGATAGACATTTCCATTTTTAAATTTGACTTACTCTTCAGAAGCTCTTCTTATAGCTATAGCATCCTCTCCATGCACAGCACAGAGACCACGAGCAACTTTTGCTGTCTTAGAGCCTTGATTAAGAGCTAAGAGAATGTGGTGTTGAAAATGTACATTTTTTTCGAATTGGCATTCCATTTTAATTATAAAAATTTTTTCCTATCGTCGATGAGCTTTTCATTCAGGACACAACATGATATGCGTGTTTAAGAAAATGGACAAAGTAGAAATAGCGTGTTCATGAAAATGAACCCTGCATGGAATTCGTGTTTAAGAAAACGGACACAATTCAAAAACGTATTTGTGAAAATGGACACTGCTTGAAATGCGTGCTTACGAAAACTGATATAGTTCAAATAGCGTGTTTATGAAAATTAACCCTGCTTGAAATTCGCGTTTAAGAAAACTGACACAGTTTAAATAGCGTGTTTTTGAAAGTGAACCCAGCTTGAAATGCGTGTTTCAGAAAACTGACACAGCTCAAATAGCGTGTTTACGAAAATGAACAATTCCTTTTTTAAAAAAAAACTTTTGAATACAAATGAATTCATTTGATGGCGTCTGTGTACTTAAACCACTGATTATATATGTTTTAAAATTAGCTTTTTTAAAATAATATACAAATCTCAAAAATATAATAGTTCTTCTGACAAGGTTATAACGGATCTTATAAATTTATAATAGAGATATTAAACTGACGTTGTTCGATGTTAGGTATTTTTGAAACCACTCAATCGTTTAGTGTTCTGAAAATTAATATCTTAGAATATCTCTTAAAACTAGAGGTACCTTAAATCTAAAATATACTCAGTCAGCCTGACCGGATTTTTTTATAATTGTCGTTGAACAGCCGATCCAATTTTGAGTTTATTACTACCAATATTCAACTCCGCTTTCTAATTTCCTTGCCGTCAAGCTAACCAGGAGAGGTTTTCGATCCACGTAATGCAAATGCATATTAGTTCCTTCAAAAAGTCCTCCACGAAGGCAAATTTCCATGACCAATTCTTGATACAAAAGCTGCATAATGATTAAGCTTAGCTTTAAAGTAGTAAAGAAAAGTAAGTTCGGAATTCGTTGCTTAGTTGATAAATTTGGGTTTAACATTGAACAGGTGAAATTTTTACCTTGTTGATTTTCATAAACACGCATTTTGAGTCTTGCTCATTTTTCCAAATACACATTTCGAGCTGTGTCCATTTCCCGAAACATGAATTTCGAGTTGTGACCAGTTTCTAAAACACGCATTACGAGTTTTGTCGATTTTTTCAGGCACGCATTACCAGTTGCATCCAGTTTCTTAAACATGCTTTTAGTTCTGTGTCCAGAATAATAAGCTCTTCGACGAGATGTTAATTCGATTAAGAAATAATGTATCCTGATAAAATAAAATATACTGTTTCAAACGATCTACAACATTATGCAAAAACATGCAATGACTTGCGGAATTTTAAAATTGAAAGAAACGATTTGCCCCAACCTTATAATTTAGGACAATTGTAAACATCGGGGAAATAATTGAAAATGACAGAAAATTGTGTCCGCTGTTCAACGACGGTTATAAAATAAAAAAAATTAAATAAAAGAAAGAGAAAATAAATAAATAAGAAACATTATTTTATCAATTAAATGTTTCTTTTTATTTGTCAGATAAACATGACGGCTTGAAAATTGCTCATGCTAACATTGATGACGTCTTTAGAGATCATCAAACATCATTATAAACATCAGCAACATTATTTAATTTCTTATTTAGGTTATAAAATAAAGGCGCAGATTAAGAACAAATTATATGAACTCAAAATCTAACCTTTTCGGTCTTTCTGTTAACGTGTATATGTAATAAGAATTAAGTTATCAGTTATTTACTTCCTTTATTAAATACAGTCAAATCCCGCTATAGTGAACATGGTTTATAGTGAACTCCCGGATATAGTGAACGAAACGTTCGGTCTCGTGCCTTGCTATACACGTATAATGCTATTTTTTGTGGACCAAAAAAGTGAGGAAGTTGGATATAATGAACTTTTTTCTGTCTTCGACAGATTTTTTTCTTCATTTTTTTGTAATAATTTTGAAATTTTTACTTAAAAATAAATACATATACCGATTTTTAAAACCATCTAGAGAGGGAAATTTAGCGATAAGCTTCTTTCATCTCACTTTCCCATCCCTAAACAAACCGAGCAGATATTTTCAACCCAGGCAGATAATGCACCTGTAAGGTGTCCGTGGGATCAATATGCATTTTCTGTCAGATGGAATGAGTAATTATTCATTATTGGT